TTCCCGGGCCCACGACAAGCACAAGCAGGGCGGCAGCGGCGTCGGTCCGCCGTCGTCGTCGTCGTCGGGCAGTGCCGCCAGCGGCTGAATTGCGGGTGCTGCCCACTTTCGCACCGTTTCCGGGCTCGCGGGGCGCGCGGCCTCGGCCGTCGCGGCCCCTCTTCCCCTGCCCCGCCCTGCCCGGTCCTGTCCGCCCCTCGCGGCGCCCGGTCGTGCAGTCCCTCCCCTCCCCGACCCCTGGCCACTTGTCGCGGGGCCCGTACCGCGACCGTCGCCGACGATGGGCGAACTTCAGCTTCTGCCAGTCGAGCTCCCAGTGACACTCTTGCGCTTTCGACTCCTTGTCGGCCGGGGTGGGGACCCCGTGCAGCACTCGAGAATTTTTTGCCAGCTGGTTTCTTTGAAATTTATTCCCACGAACCTCGCGGTCAACCCATGCCTCCGGCGAGTAATCGCCGAGGCCAGCGGCGTCGAGACGTTGTTGCTCGCGGTGGTCGAAGACGACGGCAGCGACCTCTGCCAGGCGATGGCCGCGGCCGCGCTGGCGAACATGGCGTGGGACGACGACACCGCGGCTATCATCATGGGCATGGGCGCCATCGATGCGCTCGTCGACCTCGAGCGGAGCGGCAGCGCCCTCGTCAAGGAGATGGTCGCCTGGGCCCTGGGCAACCTCGCGTGCTCCAGCCCCGACGTCCGGCTCGCGCTGGCCGTTACTTTAGAGCCGGATCGTGCGCTCCGTCTGGTCCAGGCCGGCCATGGTCCACGCCTGCTGCGCCTCGGCGATGATGTCCAAGACGAGCGCGTCGGAGTACGAACCCTCGGCGAGGAGTCGCTCCTTCACGGTCTCGCTGGACGCGAGGCCGTTGTAGGGCCCGTCCGCGTGGCGATCAAAGGCGTCGCAGCAGAAGCCCTTCATGCCCACGTGGACCGGCGCCACGTCCGCGGCCTTCTCGAGCACCGAGAGCCGAAGGGGCCACGACTCGGGCCCGCCCGAAGTGATCGACGCGTGGCCCGCGTCTTCGCGCTGGGACTGCAAGCCCTGGAGCAAATTCTTGATCTTGTGCGAGCAGCACTCATGGAAGATGCCGCGCTCGAGCTCGGGCGCGTAGAAGTGGGCGCGGAGCTCCGGGTGCTGGCTCCGAAGGCGGTCCATCTCGGCGCGTGCGAGGGCCGCGGCCGCGGCCGCGGTGACCTTCACTTCACAGCAGTGTCGATTCA